CAAATTTGCCTTTAAAGGTGTTTATCATTGCAAAGATTAATTGATTGTTTGTTACATATAACTATAATTGCAATGATTAATTATAATCAACTATCATTTATTTGTTTGTATTTTACAATTTTCTCAGCAATAATGACATCAATAAAGGGTGTCATTATTAACTGGCTGTGACAAACATACACCTTTTAATTGTTTGTATGCTTTTCTCTTTTTTTTCAGCAATTCTTGAAGCAGTTGGTTCTTAAATTCATTGAACTAAAAAGAAAAATAAGAAAAGAAATTTCCCAACCATTTCACATTATTTGAGGGGATTTTGACTACCCACTGAGGGGATTATGACCACCCCTTTATTTTTGCCAAGGGGATTATGATAACCCTGTCATTTCTGTTGAGGGGATTTCGATCACTATGTCGTTTATCAACCAAGGTGATTATGATCAAGGGGATTTTGAGCGTCTCCCTATGTTTATACGCGGAAAGTAGGCTGTAGCGCTCTTAGATAACATGTATGACACGTTTCAATTCAAATGAAATCAAATTAAAACTAAATGAAACTTTCAAAAAAATATATATCCTAGACCTAATGAGCTGTGAAAAAATCCTTAGTTAACTGGGCACCGCCATTTTGAAATCCTTTTGAGCTAACTATAGATATCAGAGCGCTTTTAATGAGCGTCTACATAATTCAGACTGTAGCTAGCAGACGCATTCTAAGTGGAAGAATGATGTACAAAATCAGAAAATAAACCTGCATTTCATTGACAAGAATTATAGCAACGACTATAAATATAAAAAGAGACTTTAACATATCCTTTTTGATTAATTAGCACATTAAAAATAACGTAAAACAACAACTGTGATTAGAGATTAACCCATTACTTCATATACATGCCTTTTAACGCCTTTTTCACCCCCCCCCCTTTTTGTTGTCTCAAATGGTGAAAAAATGCATTATTTAGCCCCTTAACACTTGTTTTTGTTTGAGAAATGTTGTTAAAAAAAGTGACCACTTTTTCGGCGCGGCCCCCCAGCCAAAAGATACATCAGGGGGTTGCCAGAAGGGGGATGTGCCCCCTTTTGTTTGGGGGGGTTTGAAGGTGGGCGGAGTCCCCCTCATCGCCAAGAAAATTTTGGACTTGTGAGAGGCTATAAATGACCCCAGATTGATCATAAGGTAACGTGTAACCAACGCTGAAAAGCATTTGACTCTATCTCAATCCATTGAGAAGTTGCATCACTTTGAAATCAATTATAATGGAAAAAATCAACGCAAAATAGTGATTTTTGGCAATTTTGAGATGTCCCCTCGTTGCCATGGTAACAGAAAATTTAAGCCTGAGCATGTTGTTGCAAGGGCAATGGTCCAGTCAACATTTGTGCCAAGTTTGATTAGTGTTGAAGCAGTTTTTATAGTATTATAGCAATTTGAACTTGTAACGGGAGACTTTTCAATGAAAACAGCCATTTTTCACAAAATGCTCATGAAGTAATGGGTTAACAAAAATGGCGGACGGGATTTTCCAAACTCCAACGCATGCGCAGTGGTCCCCCTTTCATTCGTAGATTTGCGGAATATTCCGAGCGCTCCGATGATAGGTTGAACACCACCAATTTATTTGTTTTGTTTATGGTACAAAATACCTGCAAGAAAGATCTGGTTAACATTTACACTAAACATGTTATGCTAAAATCATAGTTCATAAGAGCTTTCCGCGCCATAGGTAGCATCTAATCTCATATTAATTCATATTTCATCAGATTGAGACAATGAAGTACTATTTTATGCTATATGGTATTTTGTACAGAAGGTATCCGTTGCGAACAGGCATTTACGCTTAGCGATGGTAAATTATCAATCGACAAGATATTTAAGCATTTATATGCGGAAAGTCCGAGCGGGGTCAAAGGCCTGCGAAGGCTGTAGCGCTCTTAGATAACATGTATGGAGCGTATCAGTTCAAATGAAATCAAATTAAAACTAAATGAAAATTTCAAAAAAATAAATATCCTAGACCTAATGAGCTGTGAAAAAATCCTTAGTTAACTGGACGCCAACATTTTGAAATCCTTTTGAGCTAAATATAGATATCAGAGCGCTTTTTATGAGCGTCAACATAATTAAGACTACTGATAGCAGACGCATGCTAAGTAACACTTCCGGTGAAAGAATGATGTACTAAATCAGAAAATAAACATGCATTTCATTGATAAGAATTATAGTATTAACGATTATGAATATAAAAAATGTTACTTTAACGTATCCTTTTTGATAAATAAGCACATTAGAAATAACGTTAAAACATCAACAGCTGTGATTAGAGATTAACAAAAATGGCGGACGGGTTTTTCCAAACGCCGACGCATGCGCAGTGGTCATCCTTTAAGTTTGGAAATTTTCGGAATCAGGGTTTTTTTCCAGTATTTTGGGAACATGACCCATACCCTTGAGATTGGGAATTTTAGCGGCATTTTGCCCAAAATTGGGAAAAAAACCCACAACATTTTCAAGTTTTCTGAGGCAATATATTCCTTTTCTTATATTATAGGATTTAGTTCACAAAAGTAGGTCTCTGATTTTCAAATTTTTGAACTGTGTTATTGTATGGTGTTTTGACTTTACACCTCCTGGATGTTTCACCCCTGGATGTTTCACTCTCAAAACCCTGGTGTTTTCATCACCACTTTTTAAATTTGATAAATATATGAAATAAATACCATTATGGGTTAATATTATATATAATATAACACATACTTGCAAACAACTACATTCATGAAGAAGATTTTTTTGACATAAATATAGTGAAATTTCCCTGGGAAAATAATTATAAATATGAGTTCTGAAAGAATTATCAGCTATAAGTCTACATGTATTTATTATTTCATTTTTTTTTTGTTATCCAAAATTTAAAAACCATAAAAATATTGATTAAATAAAATATGTTTTTATATAACAGATAAGAACAATTAGAAGTGTGAAACAATTTTGAATAAAGCATTATAAACACAGGTTTATTAATTACTTAATTAGCACCTTTAGAAGTGTGTAACTAATAGTTCTTTTTAGTTTTTATAAAATAGGAAATAAAATTATATGATGAAAATAACAGTGTTTATTTTAATGTTATGTTATTGTATTGTGCATACATTATAGATATAGTAATTGACTCTGAATAAAATTTAGTAAATCTTATCATTTTGTTTTTATCTGTTTTTCATACATTGATACATATTTGGTAAATTTTATTTGAACAAGAATGTCATTTTTAAATAAAATTTCTTAATTATAAATTTCAAAAAACAAATATTCTCTCAATGTCTATCATGCAAATTTATATGATAATGAGTTATCTGTCATCTGTAGCTGAAAAAAACTCGCACAATTTGCAAAAATACCAAACTTTTGCACCACTATAAAACAACAATGCATACTTCAACTCGTATTTGTTGGAACTGAATAACATTTGATCATTGACAGGGACAACTGTATCTGATTTAAACTCGTCGCTAGAACTTTTAAAACCCCGAGAAGGAACATCATTGTGGTAACTCACGGTCACCGTTGAAGGATTTCCCATTAGCACTTGCAGTTTCATTCGCCGTTACCGTTTCAGAAGTACAACTCTTTTCGGAGAGAGTCGCTTGCGTAAACATTAAATCATTTTTTTTGTTTTTATCAGTGCTTTTTTAACGTGTGAAACATTTTGATTTACTTTCACTTTCGAAGGTCGTAGGTATCGCAAGACGCTCGATAAACTTATACTAAGAAATCAAGCGTCTACTTAACACGTGGGTTGTTTAGACGCCGGCTATTTGCTTAATTTTACGTTCCCCAAAAGATCGATTTTTAAAATTTTTTTTTTAAGTTTTCGATTGGGAATTTTTGTATCAAAATTGGGAAAAAAACATACTATTTTTAATTGGGAATATGACCGAATAACGGCTATAAAATCGGCCAAAAAAAACCCCTGAATTCACAAGAGCTTTCCGCGCACCTAATTTCATATTAGGGTTAACTGGGAGTGTCCGATCCCTGTAATACGCGGAAAGTCCAAGCGGGGCCAAAGGCCCCGCGAGGGCTGTAGCGCTCTTAGATAACATGTATGACGCATATCAATTCAAATGAAATCAAATTAAAACTAAATGAAAATTTCAAAAAAAATATATCCTATACCTAATGAGCTGTGAAAAAATCCTTAGTTAACTGGGCGCCGCCATTTTGAAATCCTTTTGAGCTAAATAAAGATATTAGAGTGCTTTTAATGAGCGTCTTCATAATTTAGACTATTGCTAGCATCTGCTAAATAACACTTCCGGTGAGAGAATGATGTGCAAAATCAGAAAGTAAACATGCATTTAATTGATAAGAACTATAGTAAAGATTATAAATATAAAAAGTTACTTTACATATCCTTTTTGATAAATTAGCACATTAAAAATAACGTTAAAACAACAACTGTGATTAGAGATTAACAAAAAATGGCGGACAGGATTTTCCAAACGCCGACGCCTGCGCAGTGGTCCCCCTTTATGTTCAGAGATTGTCAGAATATTCTGAGCGCTCCGAGGATAGGTTGAACACCACCAATTTATTTGTTTTGTTTACAGTACAAAATACCTGCAAGAAAGATCTGGTTTACATGTACAATAAACATGTTATGCTCAACCATAGTTCATAAGAACTTTCCGCGCCATAGGTAGCACCTAATTTCATATTATAAATCCGTGATTACATGTAGATCTCTATTTTTGAAAAATTTACTGTGCAGCAGGCAACATCCCTGTTGATGCATTTTTAAATGTTTGAGGCTAGCATGACACTTAACATTAATTTCTTTTTATTTGAACACAATAAAAATCATGATGATCCATCATATCTTCAATTAACTTGTCATATTGTCAACATGATCAAAAATAACAAAATATAATTTGTTCAAGAATAGACATGTTTCTTGATATTTTTATGTCGCTGGAAAACTCTCTTAAATTAAAACATATATTACCTGCTTGCGAAGAAGATCTGCATCTTTCGTTACTTTTTCAAGAGGAGTTGGTTCTTTACCCATTACAAAAGTGGGGTAATGTCAAAAAGAATGAATTAAAATTATTAAAAAAAATTACCATCCGCCATTTGCAAACAAACTTTAATGCACACCATAAATTATGTATTTTATAAGATCTGTATAATATAAAATGATAAATACTATAATAATTATAGATTTGATTATTAATTGTCAATTTTGTCAATAATAGTTTTTTAAATCAAAATAACACAGGATTTGATATAAAAACATAATGAACATCGCAAACAGGACGTTTCGGCCCCAAACCAAATCGACCCCTATGCAAAAATCGGCCCCTAGATGTTTCGGCCCTTTTCCGCGAGACATCAGGAACCGAACAATTCGCACTATTAATAATTCGTCCTAAATTATATTTGCGGGTTTTATTTATTATTAGTGAATTTTATAATAACATCTAATTAAAAAGTAACACATTTTTCTTTAAAATTAAGAGACCTTTGAGGAATATTCACATTCGTATGAAGTTATCAAATATATCGGATTTTTTTTATTAATTTAAGACAAGTTTCTTAACAAGCGAACCGTCAATAGGACGAATCCTTCTAATCATGCGAATAGTGTCGGTTTTCATACTAAAAATGCTAAATGTGAACGTGCAATTGCGTCAACATTGAAAGAATTAAAGAAATAAGGACACTATCTATCTATCTATCTCTGGATACTGCCAACCCCTCTTACGAGTGTTACAGGCAGGTATACATTGTATACATTTAAGAAACAGCTTTAAGATACAAGGGAATCCGGGAACCAGTCCCTAGCTCTTATTGAATAGACCCCTTGGTTCTTTTACATGCCCAGTGTATAGCACTGATACATGCGAGGATTACCTGGATTTCTTACCAGTACACCTCTATGTAGGTGGGAAACACTGAAAGTGTCTCTGAAAAATCCCAAGGGTGTAACCCAGGATCGAACCCGGGACCTCAGGAGTGATAGTCAGTGGTTTAACCAACTGAGCTATCGCGCCACACGTGTCGAGTTAAAAGAACATGGTCTTGAAAATTTAAATTTTTTGATTTTCTTGTTATGTGTGTCTTCACCCGTTGTTTCACCTAGCTTTTAAGTCGTTAAGTGTGTAATAGTGCCGGTTTATTATCAGTGGTTCAAGCTGATTCGAGCCCAACACTCAGTGGCGCTCTGGACAGACTTATAATATAAATGGCACGACACGTGATCACAAATATATCTTGAAACGGCACTTTACCCAGGTTCTCTGAACTATTAACCCTTTACCCCATATATACGCGTAACGACGCACTTTTGATCCCCCCTCTTTTAGGCCCGAAATAGTGAAAAAATGTCCAATTTGAGAAATGTTGCTAAAAATAGTGAGCACTTTTTCAGCGCCGCCCCCAGCCAAAAGATACATCAGGGGGTTGCCAGAAGGGGGATGTGCCCCCTTCTGTTTGGGGGGGGTTGAAGGGGGACTACTGCCCCCCTCATCGCCAAGAAAATTTTGGACTTGTGAGAGGCTAAAAATGACCCCAGGTCGATCCTAAGGTAATGTGTAACCAGCGCTGAAAAGCCTTTGACTCTATCTCAATCCCTTTAGAAGTTGCAGCACTTTGAAATAAATTTTGATGGTAAAAATCAAGGCAAAATAGTGATTTTTGGCAATTTTGAGATGTTCTCGTATACATTGACAAAGGAAAATTTATCCAAAAGATAAAGAAGCATATGAGATCTGTAAACAATTACAATTTTTTTTTCAGATTGTCGGTCAGCCCTTTCAGCGTGGACAACTAATGTCGATAGAGTCTACATGCCTTTGTGCAAGAAGATGATGAGTGCCAGCAATTCCCCTTAATCTTCTGTTTGATGTCAAGACGCACCGCCGCTGATTATGTTGCCGTATGTACAATGTTTCTTAAATGCTAAAGTCGATATGTGTTAAAATATAAGTATCAAAAATAACCTACAGATTTAAATTGTAATTTCTTAAAAATCGAGAAATCTTTACAAGAGTTTAGTTTATGCTGTACGTGCAATCCATATAAATATATAAAACAAGTCGTGATATGTGAGTAAAACGGCGGAATACACAGAATACATAAATTTAACTCATTATTTCTTTTCAGGTGTTGAAGGCTATCCGAGACAAATTGGAAAGTGTGTCAGTTGTGGGGTTCATGCTGGACTTTGAGCTCGGTATGTATATATTATTTGTACTCTTCGTTATTTACAATATCAAGTTCATTTTTTCATACTTCATAATTTACATAAAATATAACGATTTAAATGGCATAAACTATCAAATAAACAGACCCAAGTTGAAAACCGCTTTCATATAATTCTTGATTAAACATTTTTTTTTTGTATTTGTATTGCATAATGTTAATTTTATAATTTAGCGGCATGGAATGCAGTACGAGAAGTGTTCGGTCAGGATGTAGATATAAAGGGGTGTGTCTTCCACTGGTGTCAGGAGGTTTGGCGGCAGGTCCAAGCCAATGGGCTATCCACCACCTACAATGCAAGGAAGAACGTAAGTAACGCTTCTTTTTTAAACTAGATATTTATATCTATATCCTATAAATAGAATATAAGTGTAAAATGATACGTACACTGAACTTACCATCCAGGCCCGATGAATTATTAGAATCATTATGATCATTGTTTTTGTTACCTAATTGCAATGAACATGTATGTTTCTGCTTACTTGATAAAGAAATTAAATATTTATATGGTATGTTTTGGTTATTGAATATTTACTTTTTCAGACTCAAGTATTTGCGTCAGCTGATGGCACTTCCATTTCTTCCAGTCAACCATATAGTGCCAACATTCAGGGAACTGCAGGGACAAGCCACAAACCCTCAGATTGTAGCGTTCTGTATCTACCTGGAAAGTCAATGGATTGGGAATCCCTCATTCCCAGTGAGTTTGTGGTGTGTATTCCGCCAGCCGGTACGGACGAATAATGATGTAGAAGGTAATGACAATATTTTTTTTATAAGTTTATAAGTTATTTGATTTAATGAAGAGTTAATGAAGTCTGCTTTAGTAGCGAAAATACTGGTATATACCACTACTTCTCATATCTATTTAGTTCATAAAAAAACATTTACCACTTTAATGCATTATTACTCTGTTGAATACGAATTACGATTCGTTTAACTTAAAATAATAATTTACATGCATATTTATCCATTATTGCTAATTTAAGATTAATTACACATTTTTTATGTCCTTCCAGGCTGGCATCATCGTATTGACAGGAAGGCAGGTGGATGTTCTATGTCCTTCTACAGGCTAGTTCCTCTGCTACGTAGGGAAGCGGACACCGTTGGTCAGACACTACAGCTAGACGGGAGATCTGAACAGGGCAAGATCAGCACGTACAACCAGGATGGAACGAACCCTTCAAGACCTCTGGGAAAGGTACCAAGAATCAGAGCTTACTACAACAGCTTTTTTGAAAGCGTGTTCATCATTGTACGGACCGTCGTAGAGTGTTTTGATGAAATGACGAGGATGTAGTTTGTGGTGCTGTTGGTGGTGCTGTCGATGACGGCTGTCTTGTTATGTAAAAAATGTATGTTTTGTTATGTAAACAATATATGTTTTGTTATGTAAAAAAATAGATGTTTTGTGTTTTTTGTCTTCGATCTTTGTATCATATTTGTCTAAAATATTTGATTTTTGTTTTTGTTTTGTTTTAATCATATTTGTCTGTACAGTTAGTCATTAAATGTTTAATATCATAGTAGAAGTATTATACATATCTTGTTGTTGATGATGATTGTCATGTTGAGGTTACTATTTTGTATTTTTGTGTAAATAAAATATACATGTACTAGTCTATCCTGCCTCTTCACTTGTTAATTTGTATTATAATTTTGTAACAATAAATGTAATATAAAGCACTGTTTGCTCTTTGTTATATTTATAAACTCTCTCTGTCTGTCTCTTTATGAACTACGTAAATAACCGAGGTAAATCGAGTGAAAAAAACAAGAGTTGTTTTCCTTAGTTTCCCTTCGCTTGCAAAAGAATGCAAATTTAGCCGTGTTTGGGGCACAGCATACATGTGAACTCTCCCACTTTAGGCGGGAGACTCCCACTTTTTTCAGCCATATTTTCAAAGATTTGTCTTAAAATAAGGGGTATTTTCACAAATTAAAGAAATCTCCCTATTTTTGATGTCAGAACTTCCTTCTTTGTTTATTGCAAATTCTTAAATCTCCCTCTTTTTGAAGAAAAATCTCCCACTTGATCATTGAAAAAAGTTCACATGTATGGCACAGGCACAATTAATTTACCTCTATATGCTCATAATACTACATATAAAGAATATTCTTTATATATAGTATTATGAGCATATAGAGGTAAATTAGGCACTAGACACAATTAATGTACCTCTATATGCTCATAATACTACATATAAAGAATATTCTTTATATATAGTATTATGAGCATATAGAGGTAAATTAATTGTGTCTAGTGCCTGTGGTTTGGGGCGATTAAATGTCCGATTTTAAAATTTATTACATCAATTAAAAGCTGGTGATCTTAGCTTCCTCTCAGTGTATATTTCCACACATTGTTTGACACTGAAGGTATTTAAATTTATGGTTAAACTTACCACGAGTCAGAGGTCAGAGATACAGTGAGATACGCAATCGGTTATCTTTACTCGCAATTCTACTGATAAGAAAAGCCTGTCTGCTGCTAGTTCGGAAACTGTCAATCCGTGTATAATTACAATAAATAGTGAAAACACAAACCTAAATATTAATAATTGAAAAGTGGGCCGAGTTGACCCGTGCCGAGTTGGAATAGGGCCAAGCTGACTCGCCCCGCCCCCCCCCCCCCGAGTACGTTTTAGGGCCGAGCTAACTCGGATTCCGTTGTCATGGTAACAGGAAATTTAAGACTGAGCATGTCGGTACAAAGGCAATGGTCCAGTCAACATTTGTGCCAAGTTTGATTAGTATTGAAACATTTTCATAGCAGTTTGAACTTGCAACAGGAGGCTTTTCAATGAAAACGGCCATTTTTCACAATATGCTCATGAGGGAAATGGTTAATTGCCAACAAGTGGCTAGGATGGTGGTGTTGGACGCTACCTTCAAATTACTCTTATTAATAAAGTATAACACAATACTTTATAAATTTAACACTACGAGATTTATTTATTTTTATTTATTTTATTTTTTATTTTTGAAACAACATAGATCACAGTTACATAATAAGATATACATATATATAAAATAACAGTTTAACAAATTAAAATATCATTTCATATAAATAATAAATTAAATAAATTAAGTTAATGACTGAAATCAGATGAGGCATTGGAAAAATTTATAAAAAAAAAATAAATAAATAAAATCACAATTCAGATTAAGACTACAACAGTCAGAATTATAATTAGCAAAGTTACTGATAGACATGATATAAAAGAACTAAATTGTCTAACCTAATTTTTTTTAAAAAAAGAGAAAAAAGAAGATATTAAATAAATAAATAATAATAAAATTTCAATAAAATTTCAATACAAAGGTTTTGTTTAAGAGTGATCTATGGTTACAAGGATAGCCCGTGAAGCTGGTGTGCTTATTTCCAATGGGGTCCTGTTAACCAAATAGATGGAAACAAGATGAAACCAGAGAGACATTCATTTCTCAAATAAAAATAGACAATGAGATAATCTACAAAATATTCTTAGAATCTTATTATCACAGTAGTTTTGCATTATCACAGAAAAAAGGGGGAAAAAATACTCACTGGATCCGTATCTTAACACTTATATGCTATATTATCACAGTAGTTTTGCATTATCACAGAAAGAAAGGCACAGGAAATCATAAGATAACTAAAAATATAATAAAGTTTGGCGTACTTATGTCGCCACTCAGTAATATAAAAAATCACTTTGATGTTGCTCAGCCCAAATTGAAGCAAGATGGCTTTTAACAGAAGTTTTATATAAAGTTGGATTTGATATACATTTTACATCGTCTGGCAAACTTTTCCAATCTTTAATACCATTATAGAAAAAAGTGCCATTACATGTCTTATTACAATGAGGAATTGAAAAATTAGACTTATTTGACCTAGTGTTGTAATTGTGTATATCAGACATCCGAACAAAGTTTGTTTTCATATAAGTTGGACACTTATTATAAAAAATCTTATGCATATGATTAAGTCTTAGTTGTTTTACTCTGTTTTCAATATTTAACATGTTAACATCTGTAAAATCAGAAGGAGTTAAACTAGTTCTTGGATGGTAATCTTTTATAAACCTTATGACTTTGTTTTGAGCTACTTGCAGTTTCTTTTTCAGACTTTTATTATATACACTGTAGATCCTGCTAGTTAATGAAATGTCTTTCTGTAGACCATTCAGGAATCGAACAGGTATAATCTTCGTAGCTGACGGAGTATGGATGTCCATGATGTTCCACAAATGCAAGCATACAGTTTTTGTGTGGGATAATCAACCTCAGCTACATGTACATATGCATGAAGTCTGAAAAATTTAACAAGAATTAACATTTGTTTTAAAAACAATTGTATAATAATCAATGACAATCCTTCAGATGTACCATGTTGAAAGTGTACTTAAACAGAATAAATACAAGTATTTGTATTCTATTCACTTTCAATAAGATTTTACAAACACAATGATTTATAAAACTATTAACAAAATCAAATTATGTTTATGTGTATCAACACATTATTCAATGCAAACAACTGTGCATTTCATTTTTTAACCCATTGCTTCATGAGCATTTTGTGAAAAATGGCTGTTTTCATTGAAAAGTCTCCCGTTACAAGTTCAAATTGCTATAATACTATAAAAACTGCTTCAACACTAATCAAACTTGGCACAAATGTTGACTGGACCATTACCCTTGCAACAACATGCTCAGGCTTAAATTTTCTGTTACCATGGCAACGAGGGGACATCTCAAAATTGCCAAAAATCATTATTTTGCGTTGATTTTTTCCATCAAAATTGATTTCAAAGTGCTGCAACTTCTCAATGGATTGAGATAGAGTCAAATGCTTTTCAGCGTTGGTTACACGTTACCTTATGATCAATCTGGGGTCATTTACAGCCTCTCACAAGTCCAAAATTTTCTTGGCGATGAGGGGGACTCCGCCCCCCTTCAAACCCCCCAAACAGAAGGGGGCACATCCCCCTTCTGGCAACCCCCTGATGTATCTTTTGGTTGGGGGGCCGCGCCGAAAAAGAGGTCACTTTTTTTAACAACATTTCTCAAACAAAACCAAGTGTTTGGGGCCTAAATAAGGCATTTTTTCATCATTTGAGACAACAAAAAGGGGGGGGGGGTGAAAAAGGCGTTAAAAGGCGTGTATATGAAGTAATGGGTTAAAGTAAAATGATGTTTATCATATTCATCTTCTCCTATTACCTACACAGGAGAAAGTACTATATCTTTATCTACCAGAACTTGATACAAACACTAAAAGACTTCATAACTTAAACCTTGTATTTTTCCTTACAATCCATTCTGTACATAAGTCTAAGTCTGGGATATAGATTATCCTGTTTATTAGTAATATTTTACTCTTTAAAGCCATGTCATCAGTTCTTGCATATTTATCTTTGTCTGAATATGCAACTGGTTGGTTCTCTCAAAGATTAAATAAGATTGATGGCTTAAAGTAGGGTTTAAATCTAATAATCCCATTTTTTTTTGGTTTTACGTCACATCGACACAGTATAGGTCATATCGCGACGTTCCAGCTTTACTGGTGGAGGAAGACCTCCGGTGCCCGTCCGTGCATTATTTCAGGCACAAACGGGCACCCGAGTAGAACCACCGACGTTCCGTAAGCTAGCTCGAACCCACAGCGGTGAGGGGCAAGTGGTTTGAAGTCAACCACCTTAATAATCCCAAGTATTTCGTTTCATTTGTCACAACTGCATATTTATGCATGTTTGTACCATTATCTTCTTTATCTCCAAACCAGTACTTGTGCGTTGGACTTAACACACTCATGTTATTATGATTTAAGTTGTTTAAGTATGCTTCTTTCCTAGGAAGTAAGCCGGTGAACTGTACCATTGTACATATTCTAGAGTTGAAGTTATGAATTCTTGCTTTTCCTAATCTTGTTTAATAGCACACGTTTGTGTATTTGAAGACTTGCATTATAATTCTTAAAGAAATCAATGCCTAATATGCCATTTTTCTCCTCTATGTCAGCTACAACAAATTCAAAAGAGAAAGAAATATGCTCTATTTCAAAGTTTAATACACATTTCCTAGCAATTTGTAATTTTGCTCCTTTAGCATTAGACAATTGCATAGAAGTAAAGACTAAATTGGGTTTATTTTGAAGCCTTTTATAGCATGAACTTGATAAGATAGAAACAGCTAGGACTTCCAGTATCAATTAACATCCCACCTTTAAGTGAGCCTAAATCTGCTTTAACATTATAACAAGAAGTTTTGTCAACATTTTTAATTTCTGAAATTAATTCACTTTTCTCAGAGTTTTGCCTGATTATGTTTTGCACCGAAGAGACAGATTTTTGACAACTTTCAGTTTTGACAGCTAAAGATCTACTTTCACTTTCGTTTTTAGATATACTTTATGACCCATAACTTCCGGTTTGGGTTGTACTACTTTTTGACCCTCAATTTTACTAGAAATAAGCTTTTGGTCATTTTTAACATCATTCGGAGGGGGTGTAACTATAATTTCTGGAATATACTGCTTACTTAAAGTTTGTTTTTATAATTCAAAGTTGAACTATATGTCATTTCAGGCAATGAATCTTTTGTAAGATTATTATCTCCCTTAGATTGAGATGAAGTACGAATAATTGTACTAGGTTCACTAATATGTGTTTTTATAGGCCTAAACAATTGACTACAGACTGACGTTTGGGCCTCAACCTCAATCTGACCTAGTTTTCCTGATTCAAAGCATTTCTCTAAGAATAACAACGACTCTCAATGTGACCTTTTTTATGACAGTAAGTACACTGTATGTCTTTAAAGTTAGGTTTGTCATAAAAAGAATTTCCCTGTGTCGTATTTTGTTGATATCTAGACTGGGAGTTATAACTGGTGTTTGTAGTAGAATCATATTTATAATTTACACCTTGGTTGTGGGGGTACGCGTTACTATAGTTATGCATAGGGCTATTACTGCGTCTCATTGAAGGCCTATCAATACCAGTGTTTTGATAAAATCTTGAGGGATTATGTGGCTTATACTGAGTTCTATAATTATGTTTTCTTATTGTAAGAATCAGTCATTTCTTGAAATTTTTGCTCAAACTTTTGATCAAAAAGAGAACACATTATTTGCTTTAATTCGTCTAAACTTCCTTTCATCATCTAATGGTTTTGTCATTTTATCTACCGAACCCTGTAATGACATAAATTCTACGGCAGCACTAATTGCGTGATCCAAAGTAATAGGATGCGTAAATTGTACGTGCTTTCTTAATTCAAAAGTACCTAATCCATGAATATATTGGTCAATAATACATGTTTCTAAAGCATCACTGTGCATTAAAGGAAATGCTTTTTGAGCTAATCTGCGTAGTGCATAACCATAGTCCGAAACGGATTCACCCTTGCTTCTTTTCCGATTACGGAATTCACAGCGAAAGGCAACTTCACGTTCATGTGGACTAAATCTTTGCGTTAGCACACGCTTAATTTCCGAATAACTTGCAAGTTGAGAAGGGTGTAATGTAGACAGTAATCGCTGTGCTTCCCCCCGCAAATTAATTGTTAACATGCATGCTTTTTGTTGATCATCCCAACTATTCCAGTTGGCTACTTGCTCAAAATGAATAATATAATCGGACCATTCACTAGTAGTACCATCGAAATGATCGGGACTTATATTCATAACCGAAGATGGCCGAGTATTTGTAATACCCGAGTACATAGTGTTCATCGGAGCACTATAAGTTCTAGGCATAAATGCGTTTCCTCGAGATAAATAACTCGGAAAACCTACACTTTGCGAATAATGGTTCGATAAAGTATGTGGCACCGGTGTCTGGCATGTATTTATCATAACCGGTGAGGTAACGCTACTAATGTTACGCTTTGTGAACAGTATAATCAGTTTTTAAAGGGGAAAGCATTGGCTTTTTATCAAAATCAGTCCCTTTAACCCCCGGGATAGACGTATCTAAGTCATCACGAGCACTTCCCGTATAGAAGGGTAAGCTATGACTATCACCTTTACGTAATAATCCATCATTTGTATCACACCGAGCAGTAGGAGAATGTGAACTAAATCTTACTTTCGGAGTACTAAACTCTTGTCTAAAAGTAGGGGAACAAAGAAATAAATCAGTCCCATAAGAAGTATTATGGAAAGTTTCCCAATACCTAGGTGAAGTTATTAACATGTTTCAGGAGTTAGATTTGAAGTTATTTTGTGTAAAAGGTATTGGACAAGATCATGCCAAGTTCTCACCTGTTGGTAAGTACAACACTGATTGATTAGTATTGGTAGATCCTAATTCAGCATAATAGTTTGTTAACTTTTAACTCGCCCAAGCAGCAAAATATTATATGGCATTTCACCTTCTGAAATGTAATGTACTTGGCCAAGACTTTCATTGACATTGTTAAAGACTGATTTCAGTATCAATAAATCAAAATTTAAGGACAAACAGTTAAAAGTTTTTTTAGGCTAATATAAATTTTTTAGGCAGGCCAGGCAAAGGCAATGCAATATATAGAGTTACTAATGGTCAGTAACTTAATTTGAAAGATAATGCATGCACTAATTTTTCACTAAAATTTCAGCATTTGTATACTTTGTCATAGAACTACTTTGTATATGTAAGTCCATATTTAATTTATATATTATATTTCAATAACTCCTTTTTAAAGTCTGCAAAACAGTTTTTTACATTCTTAGCTTAATATTTATGTAAGAAGATGTGAAGTTTTTGTGATGTAACTGGTCAAATAGATGCATATCTGATTCTGGTAAAACCTTTGGAGTGACTAAGGATGATAATTGTTGATAATTTAATAGGAATGTACTTGTGTATAAGGTTAAAAAGTACCTGACCCACGCTCTTGGTAGAAAAAGAGACAAATGCTTTATGTCCCATACAGATGTGCTTTTTGTAGCACATTTTTGTTGAAGATTAAGCCAAGTTTAAGTGACTTTTCTAGTAAATAATTCCGTAATGACCTTGACCTTCACGTTTCCGTTCTCTCATGGAAAATCTGGTCACGTGGTAGTTCAATAAAATTAAAGACAGCAATACTTTTATGCCATTATCTTAAGAAATGAAATATTTCATTTTAAAGTTACGGAGACTGTAGTTAAGATTTGCATTTTGTGTTTGTAGCTACAGCCTCCTACAGACTATTACCAGATATTACTTTGTTAAAGCCTATAACAGGAGAATTAGCCGTGAAGTTACAGAGATGTTTCTCTCCAGGAGTTATTGAACTTGATATGGTAGATGGTAAGTTTACCAAGTATTACACTTAGTACTACATTTAGTGATCTCAGTCATGCCATCAAGGTACCAATGTTTAAGATTAATCAGTAAGCATGTAGTGGTGACCACCTGATGTTGGTTGTGTTGAGTTTATGTTGTGGGATTAAGTATATCCGAAATAACTTACCAAAGTCATATTACATATATATGTCTATTCACTACTAGTATATCTTCCTTGTGGCTGAGGGGTTGCCTTTAATTGCAGCCACCGTTCGTTAAGAGGCAACTTAATAGGTTTGAATTATTGGAGTCTATGCATCTCCAGTAAGTGAGGTAGTTTGGACCGCAGGTGTTGCTTAAGGCCTGTTACACCCTAGGTTAGCCAAAATCATCTTTCCTATTTTTGCACAATATTACCTAAATTGTGTTGGTGAGCTGTAAAACCAAACAAAACAAACAATCTATTAGTATATTGTATTACTAGTATAGTCAGATTAAATTAATTATGACATTTAAATGAAGAATGTTACAGAACAAGTAATAATGTGCATTGTATATAGGTGAACAGAAAGCTAGAGTAGCTCATCCTCGTAAAGATACATGTAGTCGAGAAGTGTTCAGACATGATGACTTAAAAGATTTGGTCAAATTAACCAGGGTCCGAGACCATTTTATATGTAAGTATTGATATTAACTTTCCATAAATAAAATTCCACTATATATTGATGGTTATTTGCTTTGTATATGCTGTTCTTGTACAATTTGATTAAATACTGTACATCTAATATTGTCAAGCATTGATGGGCCATATAATATAAGGAAGTTAGTTATAAAAATCTACAATAATACCAAGAAAAACACATGAGCAGACTTTGGAAACTGCAGTGTAAAGTTGTTAAGTGCTAGCAGCAATAATAAGTTGCCAGTGTCAGCCATATAGAGCCAGATAACATGTACCATCATGCAGTCTGACCAGGCTCTTTAAAGTGCTTTGTCAAGTTGAAACATCTCCAGTAACAAAGAAAAGTTTCAAATTCATAAAGACATGTGCACAATGATTAAGATTAAATGAACATATTATCTAATTATGACTTATTTATGAGATTTGTATTTTTGCCTTTGTATTTTTCAGTCAGTGTAGAATCAACAGGAATCCTAGCACCAGAGGTGTTAGTGTCACAAGCTATAATCCTTCCACCTGTCCGACCTTCCGTCCATCCGTCCGAATTTCGTTTCCGCGCTAGTTCTCAGCAACTACTGGCTGGAATTCAAGGAAACTTTATGGGAATCATCAATATCAAGAGGAGATGCGCATATCGTTGCCTTGTTCCAGTCATACCTTTTAACTCAGAGTTATGGCCCTTGATTAGTTTTGCATTATGCATATAGAGCAAAAATCGTTTCTGCGCTACTTCTCAGCAACTACTGGCTGGAATTCAATGAAACTTTATGGGAACCTTTAATACCAAGAGGAGATGCGCATATCGTCGCCTTGTTCCGGTCAGACACTTTAACTCAGAGTTATGGCCCTTGATTAGTTTTGCATTATGCATATAGAGCAAAAATCGTTTCCGCGCTACTTCTCAGCCACTACTGGCTGGAATTCAATGAAACTTTATGGGAACCTTCAATACCAAAAGGAGATGCGCATATTGTCAGCTTGTTTTGGTCAGACACTTTAACTCAGAGTTATGGTCCTTGATTAGTTATGCAGTATGCATATAGAACAATAATCATTTCCGCGCTACTTCTCTGCAACTACTTGCTGGAATTCAACAAAACTTTATGGGAACCTTCAATACCAAGAGGAGATGTGCATATTGTTGCCTTGTTCAGGTCAGAATTACTATTCTGGAACAATAGATATTATATAAATTAAAAATTATGTATCAATGTGATCATTTTTGCGCGTTTTCAATCCACCGGGGCTCTGCCTGGATCGTCCTGGGCTCTGCCTGGATCGAACGGGGCTCTGCCTGGGTCAACAGGGGCTCTTCAGGCGTCATCCAGGAACGACCTGGGAAGCACCAGCATGAACCGTAGCACCACATGGGCTCTGCCTGAATGATACGGAGCGCATCCTGGTTGGTTAGTTGGGAATAACCGTAGCGCTGCCAGGGTTAGTGTGATAATTTCACCCCGGATCGTCCGGGTAACTTACCGGGATGGTCCTGGACTCTGCAGGGAGTAAGTGAGACCGCAGCTTAAGCTCTAGCTCTTTCGGTTTTCTAAAAGAAGATATTTTAAGTTTTTCTTTCGGTTGCCATTGCAACATGAGTTCTGCTTGGAATTAAATTCTTCGAACAATTTTTAAAGTTGACTACCAAAGGAACATTCCAGTGAAGTTTGGATGAAATTGGCTAAGCGGTTTATGAGGAGATGTTGTTTAAAGTAAAAGTTTACGGATTGACGGACACCGGACGAAAAAGGATCAAAAAGCTCACCAGGTCGCTTTGTGACAGGTCAGCTAAAAAATAAAACAAGAGGGCCATGATGGCCCTGAGGTCGCTCACCAGTATATAGGCCTCCCCCCCCCTCCCCCCTGGCAGGGCCAATTTTAACCCAAGGGCTTTTATTTGAACAAACTTGGTAGACACCCATAAGAAGATGTTTCATGCTAAACATCTAAGCTCTAGCTCATTGGGTTTTTTCAAAGAAGATTTTTTAAGTTTTTACTATACACATATAGTTAAAAACAATGACACCCCTGGGGCGGGGCCAGTTTTGACCCCAGGGCTTTTATTTGAACAAACTTTGTAGACACTTACTAGAAGATGTTCATGCTTAATATCTTAACGCCAGCGTTTTGGGTTTTTTTCAAAGAAGATTTTTAAGTTTTTGCTATACACATTTAAGGAAAATCAATGACCCCCGGGGCGGGGCCAATTTTGACCCCAGGGCTTTTATTTGAACAAACTTTGTAGACACTCACTAGAAGATGTTTCATGCTTAATATCTAAACTCTAGCTATTTGGGTTTTTTCAAAGAAGATTTTTTAAGTTTTTGCTATACACATATAAGGAAAATCAATGACCCCCGGGGCAGGCCAATTTTGACCCCAGGACTTTTATTTGAACAAACTTGGTAGACACCCGTTAGAACATGTTTCATGCCAAATATCTTAGCTCTAGCTCTTTGGGTTCTTTAAAAGATATTTTTTTAAAGTTTTTACTATATGCATATAGGGAAAATCAATGACCCCAGGGCTTTTATTTGAACAAACTTGTTAGACACTCACTAGAAGATGTTTCATGCCAAATATCTAAGCTCTAGCTCTTAGGGTTTTTTAAAAGAAGATATTTAAAGTTTTTTCTTTCGGTTGCCATGGCAACCAGAGTTCTGCATGGAATTAAATTCTTTGAACAATTTTTAAAGGGGACCACCAAAGGAACATTCCTGTGAAGTTTGGATGAAATTGGCTTAGTGGTTTATGAGGAGATGTCATTTAAAGTAAAAGTTTACGGATGGACGGACGGACGCCGGACGAAAATCGATCACAAAAGCTCACCCTGTCACTTTGTGACAGGTGAGCTAAAAAGACAAACTTAAATATCAAGAATTGATCCCAGGAAATGATTATAATTTCTAATTTCCAAAGCATGTTGTAATATTATCCTGCAGTTTAGTAATGGAAATAAATACTAGTGGAGTTAGTAAATATATATTTGTGTATAGTGTAAAAGTGAGATGGAAAACAGTATCTGTCACAAGGTTTACAGTGTCTTTAATGTTGATGATTTACATGTGATTTTTTTTTACAATAAAAAGATTCATACAAAAATGGATCAATTTTGTTGTGTTTTTTCTTAAATAAAAAATTATGAAATTTAAAGGATTTATCATTTGTTTTCAGTTTTTGAAAAAAGAAAAAAAATCAAACACTTTAACAAAATAGAACAATTTTTTCTATTGCCACTGCATTTTTTTTTATTCTACTCTATGAATATTCTAATCTATCAGGGGTTTACTGTACCTAATACAAAAGTTGAAAAACATCAAAAACCTCTACCTTACTGTAACTCCACATAAACATTATTTCCACTACCATATAGTCTGGAGTTCCTTCCCCTTATACTACGTTTCCGTAGTAAATGTAGGCAGGGAACAAGACTAACAACCATAGTGCATAAAAACAAAGGGAAACAACTTTCACAACTTTACAAAAATAGCATCATAAATGACTGATGGCACTATAAAAAACAATATTTTTTTTTATACCTCAATTTTTCTGTAAAATACATTAATTTTTATTGAAAAGTGCATTAATCCTAAATGTTAAAAATAATACAATATTTTCAAAAAGCTTTTAATTGCATGTCTAATAAATGTGTCCAAAATTTAAAAAACAAGTCAAGAAAAAATGACTTGGGAACTAACAAAGGTAACTCTTATTTTGAAGCTGTGAAAGTTTGAGAATAAAGGAAAGTGAAAGGGAAAAAAGGTCAAGTATAATGTTTCAGGTGAAATTAACATAAAAAGTGTCGTCTGCATCCAGCAGGGATATATCCATACCTCTTTATCTTTATCTCTATACAACAAAAACAACATTAATTAACAACGGTTCAAAATAGTGTGGATAGTTTGAGTATCTTATAAACGAAGCTGTCGGTAGGACAGCAACACTCGACTATTCTTAGTGCTTGATAGTAAAAGAGCCTTGATAATGTAAAATTTTCTGAGTTAATAACAAAAGGACAAATGTTTTCTTTAAATCCATGTTACAGTTACAGGCCTTGGAGAGAGTCCTATTATACTCTCAAAGAATAGTATAAATGTCAAAATGCTTGATACAGTAACCTCCTCCTGTCTACAGGTTTGGGTTATAATGGTGTGAACAAGTGTGCAAAGTTTCAAAGCCATATGTCAATGGACTTTGAAAATATTTGAGGTATTACAAAAACTTTAACGTAAATACTAAGTCATAAAAGGGGCATAATTCTGTCAAAATGCTTGATACAGTTACCTCCTCCTGTCTACAGGTTTAGGTTATAAAGGTGTGTTCAAGTGTGCAAAGTTTCAAAGTCATATGTCAATGGACTTTGAAAATATTTGAGGTATTACAAAAACTTTAACGTAAATGCTAAGTCATAAAAGGCAGTTTCAATTTTCATACATAATTTTTGTAGTTTTGTAAAGTCTTTGAACTGAACTTTGTTTAGGTGGTTCACTTTTTAAAGTATACATGAAGATAATGAAGATATTGCAAAAAAATGTGTGATTTAGTGTCGGAGTTATCTCTCCAACTAAAATGTTTTAAATGTTGATGCTCCCTAACTTTAGACCTGACATAAAAAATGAAACTGAATGTGGAATTAGAAACAATTAATAGTATGACATCATAAACTAGCATGAATAAAAGAATAAGAAGATAGTTACACAATTTACTTATGTTTTTTTTTAATTTTCTTTCTTTTCTAGAATTAATTCCAAAAGGAATGATGAAAAACCATAGAATCAGCACTTGTAATTTTGTTTTTCAAAAAGAAATTCACCCCTACCTTTTAGGTTTTTTACTTTTACTCTTTTTCAATGTGCCTTCTTCACCTTCCTCATCTTCATTTTCTTCATTATCTTCTTCTTTAAATAAAATACAACTTCAATATTGTTGAATTTGTATAATGAATATGAATATGGAACAGTCTTTTCCAGGTTAAATGGATTTCATTTTTAACAAGAGCTGTCGGTAGGACAGCAACGCTCGACTATTCTTAGTGCTTGATAGTAAAAAAAGCCTTGATTAAAAGGTAAAATTTTCTAAGCAGAGATTTTCTCAGTAAAGAAAAAGGCAAATTTTTTCATTAAATCCATATTACAGTTATAGGCCTTGGAGAGAGTCCTATTATGCTCCCAAAGAAGAGTATAAAATTTCAACATGTTTCAAAGCCTTATGTCAATGAACTTTGAAAATATTTGAGGTATTACAAAAACTTTAACGTAAATTCTAAGTCAAAAAAGGGGCATAATTCTGTCAAAATGCTTGATAGAGTTACCTCCTCCTGTCTACAGGTTGGGGTCATGATGGTGAACAAGTGTGCAAAGTTTCAAAACCATATGTCAATGGACTTTGAAAATATTTGAGGTATTACAAAAACTGTAACGTAAATTCTAAGTCGAAAAAGGGGCATAATTCTGTCAAAATGCTTGATAGAGTTACCTCCTCCTGTCTACAGGTTGGGGTCATGATGGTGAACAAGTGTGCAAAGTTTCAAAGCCATATGTCAATGGACTTTGAAAATATTTGAGGTATTACAAAAACTGTAACGTAAATTCTAAGTCGAAAAAGGGGCATAATTCTGTCAAAATGCTTGATAGAGTTACCTCCTCCTGTCTACAGGTTGGGGTCACGATGGTGAACAAGTGTGCAAAGTTTCAAAGCCATATGTCAATGG